GGCTGCAATATAACAAAGAGTGAAAAATTTAAGGGGGTCTGAATACTTTTATATATATATATATATATATATATATATATAATCTGTTTGTTTTTTAATACAAAACGCATACAAATTTAACTGTGTATTTGTAGTAATTGTAGAAGTGCACTTTTGTTGAAAGGTTATTGTCAGAAATGTAATGTTTTTGTGAAAGACTAATATATAACGGAGTGTCTCTTTACATTAAGTGCAAATAGCGACTGCCCAAAGTCTTTTTAATGCAATTTTACGTATATTTATATTTAAAATTGCTGAAATTAATTTACTTTGCTTTCTCAGATTTCACTATAATTGAAATATTTGAAAACATTCTAATACTTTACTAATATTTTAGATTTTCACTGCTAGGATTCCATTTATTATTATTATTTTTCTTTTCAGCGCTACTTTACCAGTCTATGTTAACTGATAAAATAGGGCATGGAAGTATAGATCACCTTGTGGAAGGAGTAGAATAAAGTCTCTGTTTGAGCGCACGCAGCGTTGCAGCAGCACAGGTGGGGTCCTGCTCTTCATCATGCATCTTCCTCTTGAGTCGAGAGAGACTGGAGGACACAAGAGGAACAGGATGTTTGACCACAGGTTTTGATGGCTTTGCTTTGGCCCCATCGGTTGACGTTGAGGGAGTTTCATCAAGCCCTATGAGAGACAAGAGGAAAAAGGGGAAAAAAACATGTTATGTAAAGTGAAATACTCAGAACACAACATTCAATCTTTATTAATACTTTATTAATATAAATAATCACAACATCCACTTGTACTGTAGTCTAATGGACTTGGGGGGGGGGGGGGGGTTTGGGTGGGGGTAGGGGGGGGGGGGGGGGGGGGGGGTTCTAAGCAGGAGTAAGCAGGGGCTTAAGGTGGTCTTACGAGTGACACAAAGATCTAAGACTCACACTTAAGCTTTCTAGCTTCCAGAATGAGATGAAATTAAAAACAAGTATGGTGAATTCCTCATAAGACTGATGATTAAGAGACCCCTGACCACTATACACAGACAAATGGCCAAGTGGGTATATGAGAAGCCTTGTCTGCTCTTATTTCTTATCAACAAATATGGTTTTCAAAAGTGCAAAATCTAAATAAAAAAAAGTCAGTATTTTCAGATACATTTATCTGAAATGTCTATTTAAAAAAAAAAAAAAGTTTTAAGTCTTTGAAAAACAATCAAAATATTAATGTGCATTAAACATATTACGGTTTGGTTTTTATATATTTTCAAAAAACATAAAATATATTGTGCCAACCAATCTGTTCATTAGGTTGCAGATTTCCTAATTCAGGCCCATCAGACACCAAATTTCATGCATGTGAGCTGCAGATGTGAGAGAAAATGCATTATTCTTGCATTCAGTGAGCAAATTATCTGCATTTCTGTACGTAAATATGGAGTAGGGCTGGGACTCGATTCCAAAATAAGTATTTTTTCAATTCCGAGGTGTTGAGATTCTAGAAATAGATTACACACACCTTAAGTCCTTAGAAGAGTCTTATTCAGTTAAACAACAGCGTTAATATTCAACTCGCTATCACAAAAATCCAGACATCAGTTGTTACAGTAGTAGTAACCTGTTATAAAAGCGCCTATATTTTGTTTTGTTATTTTTTATATTTTAAACATATATGCAATGTTATTTATGAAGTATTGCAATCTGATGTTGTTACTGTGTGAGGAGATTTCTGTACAATGACACCAGTATTTTACATTTTGTCCACTGTATGTGTGCAAGGTGAACATTAAAACTTAAAAAACATTAAAAATTCAAAATATGCTCCTAAGTGTATGATGTTACTTGTTGCTTAATTTTTATATTTGAAACTAATGATTACATTAAAAATGTCTCCATCAAAAAGATCAATTATACAAATTTTCACAGCAGTAGTAAATATAGCTGTACACAATAATATTATGCCTTCATGAACAATAAGTCTTATTTTTTCAAATATATAAATATCCATATATGTACACACACACACATATATATATATATATATATATATATTTCATAAAGTTTGTACTTTACAACAGACCAACACTGCTGAAAACAGTCTCTAGTAATCACACATGATCTCTGTTACAAAGTTTTTTTTTGTTTACTTTTTTTGCAATAAGAATTGGAAATATTTGTTCAGAATCTACGTAACTGAACATGGAATTGAGTAAATTCTGTCAAAATCAAGTCAAAATTTCAGGTAAGAATGATATATTGGTTGATTTGATTGTTACAAAAGAAAATAAATTATGGACTCAGGACAGAATGAGAAACATATGTGGCCGGATTCTTACAATCCTGATTGTAATCATCTGGTGTATACATTAATCCAGGTTCACTCCCTTTCAATGACTTAACTGCATCATAGCGGCATGCAGGTGTGCAAAATCATGAAATACGACCAAAAGCTTTCTTTTTCTGTTCAAATTGACCAAAATGGTAGCTATTTGTCTGAAGCAATAAAGTTGCAGGTGCTAAAGAGATAAATCAATAAGAGGAAATAGAGAGGCCCAGCAGTAGACATAGAGTTGAGCTGCCAATGGTGGCGTTATTGATTTTCCTGAGTTCAACAGGCCTTGTAATTAAAATGTAAATTTTGAGAGAGATAACGTCCTGACAGGAACGCTGGGATAAAGGGATAGATAAAAGCTCTGTAGTGAAAGAAATGGAGAGAGAGAAAGGAGGAGTAGAACAGACAAAATGCTTTTCAAATGAAAGTGTTTCTCTCCGGATGAGGAAGCCGATGTGATTTTAACAAAAGAAAGGGAAGGATTAGCCAGAGATGAGCTCGAATCCAGTGACAGGTTGATGTAATATTAAATGAAACTGCTGATGCTAAATTGCGCTGATTGATCAATTTGAAATCATGGAGGTAACTTGGCAGTAAATCAGAATTTATTATTTTTTTCTGCGTACCGTTTTAGGAGTATTTAATGAATGGTTGCACGCTCAATGCAATTGATGCAATTTCCATTTTCTATTCCTCCACATGAAGAGTGCACCCCCCCACACCCCAAAAATAAAACATTTATACATCTTTTCACATTTATTTCAATAGAAAAGGAAATGACACGTCTCAAATCAGTCTCACATCTGATTTACTGTGGTGAAAGATTACTAGTTTAAGGTAAGCATCAATATTACTATTGCTCATATTTGGGGGTTAAGGACTAGAACAACCATAAGTATTAAACTTCAGCACATCCTACATTCGTTGTGCTACAGATATGAAGGATAATTCAAAGTATGCACTGTTAAAGAGAACTATTGCTTTTCTAAGTGATCATAAAGACTTGGGCACGAGCTCTTTTGACTTGGGCAGAAAATAAAAAAAACCTCAACCACATAGTAATGCTGTAACAAAGTAAAACAAAATATTAAACACCTAGTTTGTATTGGCATTTGTATGATATATGTTTAAGTTCAGCATAATCTAGTCTCAGATGAGTACCAGGTTTTGTAGGTGAACAGTTTAGCGCACAGAGGTAAATTACCACTCCAAGCTAATGGGCACTCATTAACAACACTGCATTGTTAATTTGGCATGGCCAGTGCACTGATCATTACATACTTTACTGCAGAAAGCAGCTTGGCTCTGTGAAGCTGTAGAAATTATATCCTAATGAATCTTCACTTAGTGCCCGTTTAGAGATGCTGAAAGAAAATGAATGAAGAAAGAGAACAGGAGAGTCTGGTGAAATCATATTGCATCTCATAATTAGTGTGTGGCATGGAGCTCATCATGCATTACCAGGAAAATCAGGAAATTACTAAACTACTTCCAAAGTGCATGCTGTTTCTACAAGAATTGCAGAAATCCCATTAGCCACTGAAATAGATTATTTTCATGACAGTAAATTTAAAATTGGACAGGATTTGAGGTCAAATATAATCTGTGTTATTTACCTTGTGTCTGACCTATTGCTTGACCTCTGTCTTTTGCCTGTGGCTTCTTGTCAATAGAGCCGTCCTTGCACAGATGGACAAGAATCTTTTGCATGTACAAATAGTCAGCTGTCAAAACAGATTTCTATTGGCGGCCCCAGGATATAATTGATTTAAACCAGGCTTAAAGCAATTTATTACCTTTCAAATAGATATCAGAGTTTGTAAAAGAGCAGTTAAATGTTTTTAAAATGAATGTGATATTATTTTGCTCTCATATTTGACCCCAAATTATTCTCAAATGGAGAATTAAATTAAAGGCAGAACAATAAACTTCAAATACTACTGTGATGTACAAATGTTTTACCATTTAAACAATTTAACATTTAAGGGGAAAAGAGCTTAATTGTTATAAAATAATGTCACAATGCAAAAATAATAGATATTTTGTCTTACTTATATATTTTAGATTTATTTATTTTTAAAATTTATTTAGGTCATATTTTGTTCATTTTCCCCCCTTTTATTTTGTAGACAATTGTGACCTGGCAATGTTCTTGACAGAGTTTATGAGTCTCACCTTTATAATAATGCACCATATTTATTAATAATATATGAATCTGCTATCTTTCCAATTAAATTCACTGTCAACCTATTTTTAAAGTAAAACTCATAGCTAAAAACAGCACAACTACCACAAGTTGTACATTGCTTTGAGCACAAATGCTTCATGCTTTACACCTTAACTCTAAAAACAAACTTTCCTTTGTGCTTTGAAGCTTTTCGACAGCTAACCGTTTCCAACTAAACTCACCACTGTGCTCTTAATTCCACATTTAAATATCCTGCTGCTTTAAGCCCAAAACTACAAACAAACAGTAATCCCCAGAGGACTTTTCAGCTCATATCTTCTTTGAAGCAGCCACTATAAGTGTGTGGCGATATCCTATGAGATTATTTGGATTATGCAAGATCCCATAGAGAAAGCAGTCCCTTTACTGATGAAACAGGTTTGTCTTATTGCATTAGGCTTCACATCTGCACCTGAACAAACTCACCATACTCTCCACGCAGATGTTCAGGAATATGAGGTTCATAACCCTCCTTTTCTGGCACGTCTACAAAATCATCGTCGTCATCTTCTCCATCCTCAGGAGCTCTCATCTAGCTCGGGAAAAAGAGAGTCACTTTAAAGCCAAGATAATAACTAACACCTAATAGAGATGGTAACGTGATGGAATTAAGTAACAATGAGCCTATTTTTCTTGGTTTACTCAAACATTTGCATTTTACTTTGAAAATGCAATAAAAACTACTGTTGCAAAACATTTACTATTTTTTGTCATTCTCAAAACAATGCTTGTTGGCCGACAGTTTACAAAGGATGTCTGCAATTCTCTCCTGGCTGATTAACACTCAGATGGGATATTCACTGTGGCCTCAGGATATTCCAGAGATTTATAGCACTATGAATGGCAAACTCTGCAGTAACGTGGGACATCTTAACATTTTAATTCAAAGCCTTAATAGAATTTCCAGTTGACCACATCCAATTTTTTTTCTAGTGGTAGTCAATCTGAGCATTGTCCCAGCTAACTGTGACCGCATAAAATAATAGTTATGTTAAACAGACTTTTTCCAGCATCTGTCAGCACGCAAAGGAGACAATAATAATTTCAGACAATAATAATTATTTGCAATGTTTCAGAAAATAGGGCTACATGAGTCTATTGACAACCCAAAATAAACTAAAGCTGCTGATGGATGCGTACTTAATATTGGGTGTCTTAGTCTTGGCTAGATATGGTGAGGTTGAGTTGTTACGGATTACATCTTTGTGCAGGTTGTTCTACGAAAGAGCAGGGCGAACAAGGTGATACGATTTTTCCTCTGAAGTTCTGTGTTCACATCATGCAATCACTGTAAGCAGATCAAGTCAACACGAGGCACCGGATAAACCCATCTTAAAGGTGATTCAAACCTGGCTTTAAGTACCTTTGACTAGAAGAGAAGTTATGGTTTCTCTGATCTTATGTGTATCTATAGTAAAGGTAAGCTGAAAAGCTTTCAGAGATCTCAAGGTTTGGATATATATATATATATATATATATATATATATATATATATAAATAAGAAGAAAATGTGGTGGAGAATAATGAACATTTAACTTGTGTTTAACTTGTGTTTCAATGAATTAGTATTCATTTTAAATAAGCAATACTGTGTATGTCTTATTAAATATAATTAAATTGTAAGTAACACGTTTATGTCAGTATTATATCAGCCACCAGCCCCAATACTCTCTAGATACTGTTATTTGTATCATTTTTGAAAAACCCACAATCGATCAACAATAGATCTGAAATATCATCAATGTCCGTACCAAAATGCAGGGCAGTTAAGTGCCAAAGTTTAATATTTATAGTTACTAACGCCAAGTATGTTCATGACTAAGCAAACACAACTAATTAAAAAAAAAAAGCATAATCATATTGTAGGTGTCTTTAAGTGCTGAAAACGATGGTGACTGGCTCATGAATTCAGGAGGCAGGTGAGCTTTATTCTGCTCTCCCTCCGAGCATCTACTGCTGCCATCTGCACCTGCTCATCCATCACTCATGCTGTAAGTTTTGTTATCACTCTAACACTAATCAAAAGAGAAAACGGTCACTGCCACTGACCTGTGGAACCTCCCAATTATGCTCTTCAAGAGTGACAGCAGCACTTAACTTCCACTGCCGGGTAAATGACCACCATCAATCTAAACAGAATAGCAATGAACCACCGGGCTGCAAATTATTATTATTTTTTTGGTACAGAAATCCCCAGCCTGGAATTTATGAAAGGTGAAAAGCAACTCAAGGCTATTTTATTCTCCTCCTCCTGGACCCCACTCCTTATAGCCGAGGGTGTTCAGACCCCATGGGGAGACGACGTCTGCATTAGTGCTAAACAGAATTTATGCCTTTTAATTTACTCAAAGGGTGCTTAAGCGGCCCGTGCGCTACAATGCATAACAGAATGCCAGTTTTTAAATCGGGTCATTGGTATAAAATGGTATATATAATCTGTGTGCCCTCCTTTTCGAAGGTATTGCTAAAGTGTACAGCTCTAGCGCGCCTTTTCCATTTTTTTCTGTATAATTGTCTCCATGATTACCTTAACATAAAGTACTAAAGATTGTAGCTTGCTTTGCTTTCGTTCATTTTTTTTTTCTTTTTCATTATTGCAGGCAGACTATGTTGACAATTCCAGACTGAGGAATAAACTGTCTTTGCATGAGGTCTCAATTATGTACACTGGTGGCGTTGGTTCAGAAATAAGCCCTCTATGGCGAACACAGAAATATCTGTGTTTTGTGTGATTATGAAATAAAATAATTCCTTCACTTCACACTCAAGCCCTGTAGTCTCCACCTAAAGTTTGTAATACAATGAAAACTGATACTTTAAATTCAACATGATATCAAAATGACCCTATTTACCTTAAAGGGTTAGTTCACCCAAAAATGAAAATTAGCCCAAAAATTACTCACCCTCAAGTCATCCTAGCTGTATATGACTTTCTTCTTTCAGACGAATCCAGTCGGAGTTATATAAAAAATTGTCTTTGATCTTTCAAGCTGTTTAATTCCACTCAGCGGGTGTTGCATGTATCCGTTTAAAAGAAGTTAAATAAAAAGCACCCATGCATAAAAAAATTGTGTCATTCCCCCAGAACTGCTTCTGTGTACAACTGTTGGCGCAAGCTACATTAAAGTGATATTTACGTTTTGAATATGGATATTTTTTGTTCACCCCCCGGAGCCGTGTGAGACACTTTTTTTTAAATGGATGGGCGCTTTTTATTTAACTTCTTTTAAACGGATGCATGCAACACCCGCTGAGTGCCATTAAACAGCTTGAAAGATCAAAGACAATTTTTAATATAACTCTGACTGGATTCGTCTGAAAGAAGAAAGTCATATACACCTAGGATGCCTTGAGGGTGAGTAATTTATGGGCCAAATGTTCATTTTTGGGTGAACTAACCCTTTAATACTTTATTAAAATGTGGTAACTTGCTGTACGTCTTTCCTTTACAGCAGATGTCACAAAACCCTTTTACTTTTAATCCCCCTCCTCCAAACACTCCTAGTCCAGACACCTAGTTTGTAACACCTACTTTTGTCCAAACCACTAATTTTTTTTATCTGCATATCCTGATTCATGCAGAAATGTATCAGATTACGATTCATTTTAGATGAAGGTTGATCAGTATGTTCACTGTGACCCTTGTACTCAGGCTAAATACATTAGCCTATAAGAGTTTTTTTTTCACTACACAAACTGCACAGTTCACCCACTGTCTGTACCAGTGGCGAAGCTACTTTGAATAGCTACTGTGGCCCGACCAATGATAAGTTGGTAATTTTCCAAATGAATGTAATTTCTGAAACAATAACAATTTATTACTCTAACTTTATATATTTAGTTTTTTTTATGTAAATGCAAGCTTTCAAGGTCAATTGCAGTCAGTTTCTTAATTTTCCCTCTTCCTATTGGTTCATACCATACTCTTGTCAAAATGATGATTCATCTTATTTCTGTTAGTTCCACCCACGATGTTATGTTTACAACGTAAGGACATAATCGTAAGATGCGTGCGTTTGTGGAGTTGAATTTGAAAATATTGAAACAAATATCAATCATTCAATTTTTTTAAAAAGTATATATTGGAAACTAAGTCTTAGCGATGAATCCGGACATACAATTGAAACCTAACCACCTGCGGGTGATAGATTTATAGATTCGAAACTTCCAAGCCAAGCGTGTCTGAAACATCATATTAGCATAGGTACAGTGTTTGATCAGCTAAATCTGTGTGTCTTTTGTAGAGAGAAACACATAAACATTGTGCTAGACACTGTTCTCCACAACAACTGCATATTTGCACGGTCTCCTTTGAACGCAAACTGACAGAGATACTTGATTAAGTGATATTTACGTTTTGAATATGGATATTTTTTGTTCACCCCCCGGAGCCGTGTGAGACACTTTTTTTTAAATGGATGGGCGCTTTTTATTTAACTTCTTTTAAACGGATGCATGCAACACCCGCTGAGTGCCATTAAACAGCTTGAAAGATCAAAGACAATTTTTAATATAATTCTGACTGGATTCGTCTGAAAGAAGAAAGTCATATACACCTAGGATGCCTTGAGGGTGAGTAATTTATGGGCCAAATGTTCATTTTTGGGTGAACTAACCCTTTAATACTTTATTAAAATGTGGTAACTTGCTGTACGTCTTTCCTTTACAGCAGATGTCACAAAACCCTTTTACTTTTAATCCCCCTCCTCCAAACACTCCTAGTCCAGACACCTAGTTTGTAACACCTACTTTTGTCCAAACCACTAATTTTTTTTATCTGCATATCCTGATTCATGCAGAAATGTATCAGATTACGATTCATTTTAGATGAAGGTTGATCAGTATGTTCACTGTGACCCTTGTACTCAGGCTAAATACATTAGCCTATAAGAGTTTTTTTTTCACTACACAAACTGCACAGTTCACCCACTGTCTGTACCAGTGGCGAAGCTACTTTGAATAGCTACTGTGGCCCGACCAATGATAAGTTGGTAATTTTCCAAATGAATGTAATTTCTGAAACAATAACAATTTATTACTCTAACTTTATATATTTAGTTTTTTTTATGTAAATGCAAGCTTTCAAGGTCAATTGCAGTCAGTTTCTTAATTTTCCCTCTTCCTATTGGTTCATACCATACTCTTGTCAAAATGATGATTCATCTTATTTCTGTTAGTTCCACCCACGATGTTATGTTTACAACGTAAGGACATAATCGTAAGATGCGTGCGTTTGTGGAGTTGAATTTGAAAATATTGAAACAAATATCAATCATTCAATTTTTTTAAAAAGTATATATTGGAAACTAAGTCTTAGCGATGAATCCGGACATACAATTGAAACCTAACCACCTGCGGGTGATAGATTTATAGATTCGAAACTTCCAAGCCAAGCGTGTCTGAAACATCATATTAGCATAGGTACAGTGTTTGATCAGCTAAATCTGTGTGTCTTTTGTAGAGAGAAACACATAAACATTGTGCTAGACACTGTTCTCCACAACAACTGCATATTTGCACGGTCTCCTTTGA